CTCTCTCTCTCTCTCTCTCTCTCTCTCTCTCTCTCTCTCTTTCCCTGTGTGTGTGTGTGTGTGTGTGTGTGTGCGTATGTGTGGCGGCGGCGGGTGCGCGAGAAAGCACTCTGAAGTGCCTAGATCCGCCCTTTCTTCCCTTTGTCACTGGGGAACTGCGCTCTGCCTCCAACAGTCTGCCCAGAATGCAAATAGAAAAGGGGTCGGTTCGGTCGCCCTGTACGACCGATACCGGCCCCAAAAATCATAGAAACATTTTTCGGGGGGCGCCCTGGACCCAAGGAACAGGTCTAGGGTGCCCCTTTTTTTTTTTGAATTTTGGGGTTTGGCCCCTTCCGGACGGGCCTCCTACGGTCCGGCGTCCAGACACCGGACAGCAGACCGTCTGGACGCCTGTCCGGATGTCCGGATGGTAGCCATGAACAATGAAGTTCACTGTCCTTTTACACTTTCTGTAATTCTGTGTTTTGTTTTGTCAGCGAATGAAGAGGACTCCAAAATGAGGGGGGAGGATGTTGGGATTGTGGGATCTGAAACCATTTAACTGTTGTTGATAAACAGGTATACAGTTAGAAGCCTGGTATCCATAATAAGGTCAGTTGATAGTACTCGATACTCCCTTCAGAAAGGCCAAGGTGCTCACTCACCTGAGAAGCAGCCTTAAGACAAGTGGTTGAGCAGCTGAGATACAGGTGACTGAGGCCCAAAGAACTACCCACCTGCACAGCAGACGCTAGACAGGCGATTGTGCTGCAGCCTCATCAGTCTCACGGGGATCAATAATGCCCAAGAGCATCACAAGTGGTAAACAGGGGCCCCAAGTCTTCTGGCCATCGGTTAACCCTGCAAACATTGAAGCAGGCATTTGGGGGGCAATTTTGTTACAAGTGGTAAACAGGGGCCCCAGGTCTTCCGGCCGCAGGTCAACCCTGCAAACACTGAAGCAGGCATTTGGGGGCCAATTTTGTTATAAGGGGCTTTAGAAAAAGCAATCCAACGGTAGATGGAGGAATGATCCTAACAGTTCGGAACTTCGGGGACCTATGCACAGTTTGCTCAGAAAATGAACCGGAAGACTTACTTTACTGTCTAATCCAATGCAAAGAAGCAACAGAATACTGGGCCAGGGCTTCAGATCTCTGGGACTCCCTGTTCACCAAACCCTTCCCTGACCACTCCATCCAACTTCTACTGTGGACTAACATCCCGACTGACCTCAACAGCTCAGAGAAGACATGGTATGGCGTGATCAGAAAAGTTACGCTGTGGTCTATATGGAAGGAGAGATGCAGCAGGACTATTGAAGGATTATCAACGCCAAGAGAAAAGGTTTGGGCAGCCGGAAAGACTGGCATAATTCGGGAAACCAGATGGAGAAGCTCACTACAGCAAGCTACGGCCTGTCCACAGGACCCACAAGCGACATAAGGACACACACAAGACACCAACCTTTTTCGAGAAGCAGCTCAGGGGCTCTTCTCAGTTCTCCTTGTTTTAAAAGTTTATCAGGCAGATTTCCACAGAGGAATCTGAGAGGGATTGCAGGGAAAGACAAGCTGACAGTCAATCCTCCTAACAGGAGTAGTCAATGCTGGTCAGGGTTCCTTCGGCCATACGGAAGGAAGCATGAGTGGGTTCATGATGTACTCATTTTGACTTG